AAAGGGTTTTGAGAAGCAAGTAAGAGAAGTAGAGGAAAAACTGGGAAGAGAAATGAGAATGATGCAAGAAAATCATGACAAACAAGTCAGCAGCTTGCTAAAGAAGACCTAAAACAATACTAAAGAAAATAATACCTTAAAAAATAGCCTAGATTTAGATTCTTAAAATCTAGCCACTGCTGAGATTCTTAAAATCTAGCCGATAGCTTACTAGTGTTCAGACTCCTTAAGAGTGTGCCCAATATGATGGATGTTATAATAAACCTTGTCTTTGGCTGAAAGAAGGCTTGGGTAGAATTCTTTCAGGCAGGGCTTGTGTGTTGTAATTTTGGGGTCCCAGGACCCCTGAACCCCTAAACCACATCATTTTGGTGGCCCATATGGGGAAACTGCCTAACCCCAAGTTCTTCTCCAGCCAAGACTGGAAGGTATGCAAGCCTCTCCTCCCTCCTTTCTTGCTCTGTAGTTGGGGTTGCCCTCCAAGCAGCAAGGCTTGGAGGTGCTTTTCTGGCAGACAGTTAAGAGGCTGTCTAGCACTGGGCCTGATGCTCTCAGGCTCTTGGTCCACTGGGTTCAAGGTCATAGGCCTGGGTACACCTTCCACAGCATAAAGGACAAGGACAGACACCCTATCTAGAAGTGTATCTGTTAATTCCCTCAGCACTAGGGAATTGGGGAAAACTGCAGTTGCTTTTTGGTTCCCTGAGGCTTACTTACTCCCTTCCCTCTGCACCTCTGAATCCTCCTTCACAGAGGTTATAGGGAAAGTTAGAACAGCTGAAAATATCTTGCCATATTCTGGAGGTTTTGTGATTGATCATTAAGGAGTTTTGAAACACCTGTATAACCTGGTCGCTCCATTCCCTTGAGTCAAGAGGGTATCTGTTAACCCTTCTCTTAAGAGAATAGAGTTTCACCCTTTACCTCTCACCTTTGATTTCACCCTCCCCCACCTGGGAAAGGAAAGAGGGGGAGGGGCAGCAGCTATGGTGTGGGCCCCCCTGGCAATGGCCTTGGGCTCTAGGGCAACCTTTGCCTGGAAGCATCACCCAGGTTCAGCACATCCTACTCAAGGTAATGAAGCTAGCCTCCAAATTTGGGTACGCATGCTCTTTTAAATTTGTAGTTTTAACTGTTAATGATGAGATGTTGATTCTCTGTGTAAAGTAATTTGGAAGTGCACTTAACAAAACTGAAGTCACTTGATTGGTAATGGGTTTGTTTCAAGTTTCAAAATGGTGAACTTTCTGTATCAGTTATGTCAAGCAACTTTTCATAATTTAGTTACCACTAAAATAATTTAGCTATTGTTGATTATTGTGGTATATGTATAAACTAGCCAAAAAGCTTGTTTGGGTTATGTATGGCTTGCTGAGAATTTGTAAGTGTATAGAAATTTCTAATGATTGGCCTTTTACACCAGGAAAAATTTAAGTTTGAGTTGTAAATCCTGGAAAAGTTTTTCCTAAGCTGTGATTAGTAAAACTTGCTGTTTGAGGTAAAAGCTCATAGGATTTTATTTTGAATTGTCTGATGGGTCATAATCCATTGATAATCAATAATCCACCATCTGAGAGAAATGCCACAAGCTACTCAGAGAAGGTGATACTGATGGGAAGTCAACATTGGGAAAAGCTGAGAGGACAATTTTAGCCTTAGTCTAAGATGGGATCCTCATCCTCTTGGCTCAGTTTCCCCATTATGTGCCTTTGAAAGGGAATGTTACCCACCTGGCTATTCCTGAGTCTGGCTATGAGGTGGATTTGATAATGCATGGTTGGAAAACTGAATTATCTGAATCCAAATAGAGCTAAAGATGTTTTATTCTCTCATTTGGGGCCTAAATCTAGTCCCTGTTTTATATCTGGACCCTGCAGTCTTTTCTGTCAGATTTGTGTCTTCCAGACTACAGGCCATTCACCTGCAGTTGTTGGCAAACAATGGGTACCAGTCAATGTCTCCCCATTGTTCCCTGGATGCAGCCTGTGCTTGATTCCAGTCAACCTCCTCTTTGGGACCCCCTTGAGGCAGGGACAGCTTTACACCCCTTGCCAGCAGGAAGCAGTTTCAGAAGCTGAGACCTTCACACCTTACTCCAAAAGAATGTGGGTCCAATTTGTTTGAGGGGTGAATGATGAAGATGGGATCTAGACCCCAGAAAGGAAAAACCCTGGACTTTCCCATATGGCCAAATCTCTGGTGTTCACCTGAGGCTATAATCCCATCAACTGACCTATCATTGTGGCTATAGCCAATCTCCCAATTCTGTTACCTTTAACCTAATCTGGCCTTCCTTTGTTTTACCTCCCTATGTATTGCCCCTGGCCATTTCCCACCCTTAATCCTAGCTAGGCTCCATTCTCCCTTGGCCCCAAGGTCCAGGTCCCAGGAGTTCTGTTCACCCCACTTTACTGGCCATTCCTAGGCCCCTCCCACAGTCTTTCTATATATATAAGGTCCACCTTGTCTCCATTAAGGTGCTTAGATTCTTAAAATCTAGCCATGGCTGGGATTCTTATTATCTAGCCACTGCTGAGATTCTTAAAACCTATTAATAATAATGGTGATAATAATAGCAGAATTATCCAAATTAAATGTTGGCAAATTATAAAGAATAAGGTTGCTCAACCCCAAAAAGATATTAGAAGATATTTCCTCCTGCTTCTTCAAAAAGGTGGGATACTATGGATGTGAAACTCTATATATGACATAAAATTCTTTTTAATTTCTAATTAGTTTTGCTAACCATTTTTTATTCCCATTTAAAAATTCCATATTATTAACAAATTTTTTATGAATTTTTGGGGAGATAACACATTAGAAAATAATGTAAAAATAGAAAATACATCAACAAAAGTTTATTTCAACAAAATAAGGTTATGGATTTAAAGTCATATAGCTTTTCTTTCCCTTACTTTTTTCCCCCTCCTTCTATAAGGGGGCTAAACAAGATGACCTTAAAGTCCCCTTCTCATTCACAAATTCTTTGAGTCTATAACCTGTATAAAACAGAAAATCTTTGATTCTTTACCCTAGAATTTCACTTTCTACTTTTGCAAGTTATTGTCATTGTGATTGTTCTAGTTTTACCTCATGTCTCTACCCTGAGTGAACTGTACCCAATAAACCGTTAAGCCACACACAAAAAAATAGCCTAACCCAAATGGCAAAACAGGTCCAAAAAGCCAATGAGGAGAAGAATGCCTTGAAAAGAAAAATTGGCCAAATGGAAAAGGAAGTCCAAAAGATTACTAAAGAAGATACTTCCTTAAAAATTAGAATGGAGCAATTGGAGGCTAATGACCTTATGAGAAATCAAGACACAGTAAAACAAATGCAAAAGAATGAAAAAATAGAAAACAACGTTAAATATCTCATTGGAAAAAAGACTGACCTGGAAAATAGATCCAAGAGAGAGAATTTAAAAATTATTGGACTATCTGAAAGCCATGATCAAAAAAAGAGGTTAGACATCGTCTTTCAAGAAATTATCAAGGAAAACTGCTCTGATATTTTAGAACCAGAGGGCAAAATAGAAATTGAAAGAATCCACCGATCACCTCCTGAAAGAGATTCCCAAAGGAAAACTCCCAGGAATATTGTAGCCAAATTCCAGAGTTCCCAGGTCAAGGAGAAAATCTTACAAGCAGCCAGAAAGAAACAATACAAGTATTGTGGAAACATAATCAAGATAGCACAAGATTTAGCAGCTTCTACATTAAGGAACCCCAGGGTTTGGAATATATATTCTGGAGTACAAAAGAGATAGGATTACAACCAAGAACCACCCAGCAAAACTGAGTATAATCCTTCAGGGGGAAAAAAATATGGATGTTCAGTGAAATAGAGGACTTTCAAGCATTCTTGATGAAAAGACCAAAGCTGAATAGAAATTTTGACTTTCAAATATAAGACTCAAGAGAAATACGAAGAGGTAAACAGGAAAGAGAAATCATAAAAGACTTATTAAGGTTGAACTGTTTACATTCCTGCATGGAAAGATGATATTTGTAACCATGAGACTTTGTCAGTATTAGGGTAGTTGGAGGGCAAAATTTTATGTGTGGATATAGATAGATAGATAGATAGATAGATAGATAGATAGATAGATAGATAGATAAAGGGCACAGGGTGAGTTGTAGATGAAGGGGTGATATCTGGAGAATAAAATTAGGGGTGAGAAAGGATTATATTGAGAGAAGTAGAAAGGGAGAGGTAGAATGGGGTAAATTATCTCACATAAAACAGACAAGAAAAGGCTTTTACAGTGGAAGGGAAACAGAGGAAGGTGAGAGGGAATGAGTGAATCTTTTCCTCATCGGATTTGGCTTAAGGAGGGAATAACATACACACTCAATTGGTTATGGAAATCTTTCTTACCCTACAGGAAAATAAGGGTGGAAGGGGACAAGAAAACAGGGAGATGATAGAGGGAAGGGCAGATTGGGGGAGGGGGTAATCTGAAGCAAACACTTCCAAGAAGGAACAGGATCAAAAGACAGACTAGAATAGGGGGCCAGATAAGATTAAGTGAAATATACTTAGTTTTTCACAACATGACTACTATGGTAGTGTTTTGCATGACTACACATGTATAACCTGTATTGAGTTATTTACCTTCTCAATGAGGGTTGGGTGTGGAGGAAGGAAGGGAGGATATTTGGAACCCAAAATTTTAAAAACAAATGTTAAAAAAAAATTATTTTCACATGCAACTGGGAAATAAGATATAGAGGAAATGGGGTATAGAAATCTATCCTGCCCTACAGGCAAATTGAAGGGGAAGAGGATAAGAGAATGAGGGGGAGAGATAGAAGGGAGGGCAAATTAGGGAAAGAGGTGTTCAGAATGCATGCCATCTTGGGGTGGGGTGAGGGATGAGATGGGGAGAAAATTTGGAACTCAAAATCCTGTGGAAGTGAATGTTGAAAACTAAAAATAAATAAATAAACATCAAAAAAATTTAATATTTTTTTTAAAAAAAAAGATATAGTAGGGAAGCAAATATTGGTTAAATAAATGTCATCACAACTTGCCTTCCAGAAAAAAGTAGTCTCTGAGCTTGAGGGAATATTCCAGAATATGTCAATGGAGTTTCTGTCCCCACCTGAAAAGGTTGAACCATTTATAAATTATATAGTTATACTACTATACTCAAATATTATATGTATATATAATAAAACACAAAAATAGACATTTTAAAATAGATAAGATAAAGATGAAGTCAACAATATTGGCTACCATGAGGAGGGTGGGATGTGAGCCATCTTCTCACCTGATTGGTTCATCACAGGCATAGATTTAAAGGCAGAAGACACTTTAAGGATCATCTAGTCCAATTACCTCATTTTACAAGCCACAGATTTGAGTTATAAAGAGACTTTGGCAGCAGTCTAAAGGAACTACCATCCCTTACAGTGTGACTTTCAGTACTGTAAAGAGAGAGATCCATGCTGCTCTTGGCCTCTGCAGCTGAATGGGGATATTGTAAAGATGAACAGATAAGTGAGGGCCTTGCTGTGATGTGGAGAAAGACAGCCTTGTAATGACTGAGGTGTAGCAAATGAGAGCTTACTCAAATCACCAAATGGAAACCTGAGTCAGCCCAGTGGGAGTCCAACACAATCCAAGACAGTAGCACTATTCTGTCTTCCATCCAATAATATCCAAAGGAAAATCAGAATAAATCCTGCCAGTGGCTTTTTGACTTTGAGAAAGGAGATGGAATCTGGCAGATCTCAGAGGAGTACTTATGTAAAAACAATAAAGAAATCTATCCTGGCCTAAGGCTGATCTGACTCCCTCCCTCCCTGTTAGACAGCCGCTAGGTTTGCTTGCACACTCAATTTATGGCTTATGCAGCTGCTTTCACAACAGGTTTGGGGCTTCTTTGGTTTCAGCTTTCAGTTCAGCCCCGTTCAAGACCTCCTATGTTTGCGGTGGCACTGGGGTATGCAATGAGCCACCCCCCATCTCAAGGGTTCCAACCCAGGCAACAGATGTTCTGGAGAGAGATGGAAAGCCCACTGGAAAGTTTCACCCTCTTCAGGCCCCTTAGGCCAAATGACTTGGACCCTACCTTCTTTGTGAGGATTGTCACCTAGGATTAAGCTATAACGGTGGAGAAAATGGGGAACTCCCCACCTGTTCCATGTGGCAAAGCAAATCATCGATTGCAACCACCATTTTTTTTAAGCCTAAAACACACAAGAGGTGAAAGAAAAGCAATTTCTAACATATGTAAGGGGTGGGGGAGAAGCAGCAAAGGACAAAGCAGACCTATTCAGATTCCCACTATCTCCTCCAACTCTGTCTCTGCCTCTGTCTCTGTCTCTGTCTCTCAGCCTCTTTCTCTCTCTCTCTCTCTTCCTCTGTTTCTCTGTCTCTGTCCCTCTCTGTCTGTCTGTCTGTCTGTCTCTCTCTTTCTCACACATACACACACACACACACACGGTAGGTAGTAGATAGATAGATAGATAGATAGATAGATAGATAGATAGATGGACAGACAGACACAGACAGACAGGTGGAGAGGAGAGAAAAGGAAAGCAGAGGAGAAGAGAAGAGAAAAGAGGACTGAAGAGAAGAGGAGAGGAGAGATGGCAACAACTGTGGATATGTTCTGACAAAAACCACAACCCTTACCAGCCACCACTTCTTCTCACAGTCATGATTAACATCACCCTCCATCCACCTGGACAAAAATGGCAAAAGAGAGCAAGGAAGCCATGGATATCGGGACATTTCACAGGCAACTCCACTGTGCACCAAAGTGCCAATGCTCCACCTATTAGGAAATGGTGCAGAAACTAAACAAAAACTGAGAGGCCATACATTCAGCTTAATGTATAGTACAACTTAGTGGAATAAGCTGTAATTAGATGTTTTTAGCAATTCAGCAAATATCTATGGTGTACAAAAAATGTTGAGAGGAGATGCACAGCTCAGATGAGACGCAATGTCTGCCTTCTTAGAACTTATAATTTAGTAGGGGGAAATAGCACATACACAAATAATTATGAGACAAAATAATACATCATAACAGCATGAGAGGCACAAAGTGCAAGGTGAACTATGTAGATGAGAAGATCATGAACCACTAGCATAGGTTTCCAAAGTGGGTGATACCACCCCATGAGGGACGCTGGAATGATCCAGGGGAACAAGAATAGCCTTGGGCACAATTGGGTGGCATTGAATAAAAATAAGTGGGTGGTGGAAGCATAAAGAAAAAAAGAAAAAGAAGAAAATTTTGAAAAACCATTTGTACGTGTTTCATCTGTTGTGTAACAGAGTTGAAGTTGTAGCAATTACATTATTTTCCAAATGAATGCACAAAATGCAAGTTATAACTAATCAGTCTACTGACAAATCTTAACAAGCAAGTGCTGGCAGGCAAGAGTGTTGTGCATTGTCAAAAAGTCCAGTATCCATCAGCAGGAATACGTGTATGTAATGACTTGTTTACAATATGATACTAAACAGTTGCATGATGCAATATTGCACTATCAAAATTTCAATGCAGGGAAAAATCCATAAATTTACAATAAATTATTAAATTTAAGATTTCATTTTTTAAAACATATTTTATACTTTTTTGAAATTATGCAAGTTTTAAAAAACATTAAAAGGTTAAAGGAAGTAGATTTCTAGGAGACTCTGAGTAATTTTTTTTAAAAGAGGGTGGTAGGCCAAATAAGTTTGGGAATCTCTGCACTAAAATGATGAAAAAAAATTTTCATGGAGCAGACAGCATTTGACTTTGGTTATAAACAGGTGAAGGGAAATGGAAAACATCCTAAGTGTAAGGGACAGAGTGAACAAAGGTATGGAGGTAGGGACCATAGAGCACATGTAGGGGACAGTCTACATACAAAGGCTAGTTTGGAAAAGTCAAGAATGATGATGATCAAAAAGACTCCATTAGATCTGGCATTTATAGATCATTGGTAACTGGAAAAAGAAACTTCAGTTGAATGATGAAGTAAAAAGCCAGACTGAATAAGGTTTAGAAGAGAGTGAAAGGTAAGAAAGTGAAGGCACCAGTTATAGTTAGCTTTCTCAAGGGATTTAGCCGAGAAGGCCAAGAGAGACATAGAATGGTAGCTAGTTGGCATAGTAAGTATTTACTTGAGGGTTCGGTTTTTTTTAAGGATGGGGAAGGTATGTGTGTAGACAGTAGTAAAGGATCTGATAAATAGTAAGAGCTTCAAAATCAGAGTGTGGGGGATGATGGCGGAAGCAATCTGGTGGAAAAGACAGGAGCGAATGTGATCAAGGCTCAAGGTAGAGGGGTTGGTCTTGCCAAGTAGAAGGGCCACTTCATCATTAGAAATAGGAATACAGAAAGAGATAGTAGGGGACCATGAAAGAGGGCTTTGAGTTGAAGAGGAGAGAAGTAGATATTCTCCATGAATGGCTTTAATTCTTTCAGTGATGTATGAGTCAAAATCTCAGGGAGGAGGAAGAGAGGGAGGGAGCAGTATGGGAAGCTTGAAGGGAAAAAAAAAGGGTTTGGAACAGCTGCTGGGGTGAGTGTAATTAGGAATCAATTAGAGAGAAGGAGTAGGATTGTTTTGCTGTAGTGAGGGCTCAGTTGAGATTAACTAACATAGATTTATAGTTCATCCAGTCAGTACAATTTTATTATTTCCTTCAGTTCTATTGAGCAGCACATGGGCAGGAGCAAAGGAGGTGGATGGTAGGAGTAATTTAAAGTCAAGGTTCAGTAAGGTATGGTTTTTGCTATTGTTCACTTGTTTCAGTCACATCTGACTCTTCGCGAGCCCATTTGGAGTTTTCTTGGCAAAGATATGGGAGTAGTTTGACATTTCCTTTTCCAGTTCATTTTATGGATGAGGAAACTGAGGCAAATAGGGTTATGTGACTTGCCCGGGGTTACTGCTAGTAAGCATCTGAGGTTGGACATGAACTCAGATCTTCCTGACTCCATGCCCAGTGTTCTACCCACTGTGCCACCTAGCTGGAAGACATGATTGACAATAAGAAAAGAGAGCACAGGATTCAAGAATAAAGGATGAGGGCAGGGTGGAATGTAACTCATTCACCAAAGGATGAAAATTAAGAAGGGAACAAAGTGTAGCCAGATGAGGGCTAGGGGCAGTCTTGAGGGATGGAGGTATTGGAGAACATGGTGAGGATGAAGAGTTCTAGGAGAATCAAAATGTAAGGAGAGGTAGAAAGCTAAAAGAGTGTGATCAGATAAAAGAATTTCAGAGTTTTTGAACATGGAAATAGAGCTCATCAGTGATGGCAAGATGAAGAGTATGACCATCCCTGTGTGTATCTAGGGTGGAGTGGATCAGCAGATCATGGAAGTCGAGTATATTGATGAACTGGGAAGTTAGGATATTTAAGGGAATGCTGACATGTAAGTTGACATCACCAGAATGAGAAGACAGAATAAATAAAAAGGAAGACTATGAACCAGGCACTGAACTCATTGAGAAAGGACAAAGAATGCCCTGGGGTCTCATAGATACCTGGTACTAGAATCTGCATCAGGTGAGAAATTTGAAAAATATGGACTCCAAAGAGGACATTTTTGCTCAGTGACGGTGATAAAGGGAGAGTGTAGAAGTAGGGACAGGGAGATAGGCGTATTCAAATTCCATCACTACAACCTCTGAGCCAGGTGTATAACTGGAGATAAATCCAGTACTGGAAAGGGTGTCAAGGGAAACAGCATCATTGTATATCATTTGCAAAAGACTATCTGTTCCTGACTCATATCGTTGTCAAGGATGCCTATAATAAATTCATAGATTACTCTTATAAGCATTTTGAAGAGATGTACAAGAAGGAATGGATCAGAGGCATTACTCTTTTCTCAGTTGCCTCCATTTAGTAGTAATGAAATCAATATGCCCCCTAAACAATTTGTTGTCTTGGCAAAGATGGGGAAAAAAGGAAAATGAAAATGTTGGAGAGTCTGTTGGAAAAGAGACTAATTCACTAATGTACTCTGGGTGGAGCAGTGATTTGGTCCCACCATTCTTGAAAGCATTTTGCAACTATGTCCCCAACAATGAAAAATTGTGCATATACTTTGACCTAGTGATACCACTATTAGGTATATAGTATCTAATACATCCCATATACCCCCAAGTGCTATATGCACCAAAGAGATCAAAGAAATGGGAAAGGGACCTTTATATCAAATATATACATAGCGGGGGGGGGGGCAGTAGGAAAAAAAATAGAAATTAAAGGGTTGCCTTCCTATAAAAAGAATGACTCAAAATACCATATGTGAATGTAAAGCAGTAGTATTGTCCATTTAAAAATGACAAAGTGGATAGTTTCAGAGAAAACTGGGAATGCTATGTGCAGTGATGCAGAGTGATGCAAGCAGAATGAGGAGAACAATTTATACAATAACAACATCATAAAGAGAAATAATTTTGGAAGACTTAAGGACTCAGGTTATTACAATGACATACAAAAGTTCTGGAATGTTAAAGAAAACTTCTGACAGATAAGTGAACTCAATATGCAAAATGAGGCATACATTTTTGGACATGATCAATAATTTGCTTCACTTGACTGCATATTTGTTTTGAGGGATTTATTTTTCTTTTTATTGTTTTTGTTCGGTTGAAGAAGGAAGAGTAAACAAATATTTCTTAATTGAAAAACTTTTTTTAAAAAATTTTACCCAATTTGGAATCCTCCTTTCTTTAAAATATCTTCAGAATTAATCCACCATGCCTTCAAAATTATGACACTTCTAGTAGAACCTTCTCTATGCATACTTGGTCAAATCTAGATAATTTTATTCATAGATCACTTATATTAAGCAAGCCATAAAACAAGATATAAGTACGGCAAAGATGTCTGCCTCAGTTGTGGAGGATTTCCTGTCCAGAGTCCAAATCAAAAAGGGATTCTCTTTAGATGGTAAGACCCTCTAAATGCTTTCGTTTGCTAGTAATATGGTTCTCATTGCATCGAGCTTTAAAACAGTACAGAGCCTCCTAAAGAGATAAATAAAACACTTCAAAGATTTTAGCCAATCCACACAGCAAAAAACAAGTAGATGAAGAATACCTATTGTTCAGACTATTCTATTTTTTCCACCTAATAGTATTTTATTTTTTTTCCAATTACATGTAAAGGTAGTTTTCTACATTCACTTTAATAAGATTTTGAGTTCTAAATTTTTCTTCGTCTGCTCCCCTACCAACACAGCAAGCAATCTGGTATAGGTTATACATGTACAATCATATTAATCATATTTATACACTTGTCGTGTTGGTTCAGACCGAGAGACAAGTTTTAGAGGCTACCATTCAGTCTATACATCTATGACACAGCCCATAAACAATGAGCTGAGACTAGAATTGAACAGAAGAACATACCTGGTTTTCTTTGGGAAATTAAACAGCTCTTTTAATGGCCCCAAGCTTCTTCCTGAAACAAAAGTTCAATTTCTTAACACCAGTATTCTTCTGGAGATTCAATGGCTACCATACTCTCTGAAGAATTAACATTATAGATCACTGAAAGGGCAATGAAGAGATTTATAGCAGTCATAAAAAGATGGCAGCATATTACCAACAAAAACACTATATGCCAGAAAAGATGGTGTAAAAGATATTATCAAAGAGGTAAGATGGTTATTCCATTGTTATCCAAGTGACCTAGAGGAATGCAGCCCCATACACTCTCTACATTCCCTATGTGATATTACAATTTATAGAACATCAACGTGCTGAGCCAGCTATAAACAACTCATGAGAGATGATTGTTCAATTTTCAATGTGAATATTTACATCTCAGAAATCAGTAAATGCTACAAATCAGAGCTTGATTTATTCATTTGTTGATTTTCTAGACTTAAGAAAGTGATAGGAAAAATGTTAATATGGCAAATTAAACTTAAAAACGTGTCATGGGTATATTTCTTGAGTTGTTTGAACCTTTACAGCACACCCTTGCAGGACATGGATAAAAATAATTCAAGATAAGAAGGCATGAATGGGCTATATCCAGCCAGCACCAGAAGGCAAACCTGCTTTAATGAGATCCCAGATCCATCAAAATTATCACTTTCCTGCCCTACTTACCTCACTCTGCCTCAGTCCAGCATTATCTGCCCTAATGAAAAATGCCATGCCATGAGGCCTCCAGGCCACCAGGCCACCAGGCTGTGATGCCACCTTTTGTGGCTGCAGGACTGTCACTTCACTGTCCAAAAAATCCCAGAGACATAAGCTTTTTGCCAAATAACTACAAGGTGAAGTTCAGACTTCTCTTCAATAGAGTAAAAAATAATTTCAAGAGTAAAATATAATTTCATTAAGCAAGATTTTAAATAAATGAACATTGAGTTACAAAGTAATAACACCTTCATCAAATTTGAATTACTAAATATGACCCACTTGGCAGAGCAGAAGGAACACTGGTTTTAGAATCAAAGGAAGTAGGTTCCTATCCCAGCTCTGACACTTAATGTGTAATCTTGGGAAAGTAATTTAATCACTCTCTGGGCCTCAAGTTTCCTCAACTGTAAAATGAGGGAGTTGTACTAGGGGACCTCTGAGGTCCCACCTAGCTCCAGGTCTGTGATCTCATGACCCTCATACTTGATAGGAATGCTTCTTCCTAAAACATGCTGAATCTTTATCTTGGGTCAGATACAATGGTGTGCTAGCAAATGTTTAACAACTGGCTCTCTGGGGCGACGCACGCATGACACACTAAAATTTAATCTGCTTTATTAATCTTTTCTCTATCATTTTCTTAAGTCTAGACAATCAACAAAACAATAAAGCAAGCCCTGATTCATAACATTGACTTATTTCTGAGGTATAAATTTTGTACGTGTGTATATACATATACATATACATACACACAGGCGTGCGCACACACACACACACACGCACACAGTGAGACAGAGACAGAGTTGCTGTTCAGTTGTGTCTGACTCTGTGACCCCATGGACCATACCATACCAATACTATTCATGGAGTTTTCTTGGCAAAGATACTAAAATGGTTTGCCATTTCCTTCTACAATGGATTAAGGCAAAGAGAGGTTAAGTGACTTGCCCAAGTTTACAAAGCTAGTGAGTACCTGAGGCCAAATTTCGACTCAGATCTTCCTGACTGCAGGCCCCATACTCTATCCACTCAGCCATCTAATTGCATAGAATTGTATTCTTCACACATGTATATTCATACGTGTATATGTATATTGTGTATATATGCCTGTACATTTTTGTTAAAAGCACTTAGCAAAGTGTACATAGTAGATACTGTATAAACGCTTATTCCTGTCTCTTTTCTTCACAGCTAGGTGGCACAACGGATAGAGTGATGGGCCTGGAGCCTGAAAGACCTGAGTTCAATATAGCCTCGGACACTTACAAGTGGTGTGGTTCTAGGCTAATCACTTAACTCAGTTTCCTCAACTGTAAAATGGGGATAATAACCACACCTACCTGGCAGGGTTGTTGTAACACTTAGCATAGTGACTAGTACATAATAGGTACTATAAAAATGCTTATTCCCTCCCCTACCAAAAATTTAACAATTGGATCTCATAAACTGTCTCTATCTTACCCCTGATCAGATTCCTTCTTGGGGACCTTTGACTCCAGAACTTTGGAATGGCTTATTATTAAAACATCTCTATCTTTCCATCGAACTATGAGGCAAGTGTGATGAATAAGGCAATGGACTTGTAATCGGGAAGATTTGGGTTCGAATTCTACCTTAGACACTTACCAGCTGTGTGACCCTGGACAGGTCACTTAACTCACTCTGTGCCTCCATTTCCTCATCTGTACTACGAGGGAGTTGGACTCAGTGTCCTCTTAATGGACTCAGTGTCCTCTTAATGTCCCATCCATCTCTTACCTCTTTGGATTTTCCTTATCATATATCAGGTTCTCAACTCTTTGCTCTCTTTCTCCCCAGTGTCTCCAACTCTCATCTAGAACATGGAGAAAACAGCTAGAAATATAATATATTCCCCTCTTCTTTCTGCATCCTAACTTTCCTGCCCTACTTACCTCACCATGCCTCAGTCAAGCATTATTGGCCCAAATGAAAGATGCCAGGCTGCTCTGCCACCCCTTCTGTTACTTCACCCAGAGACATAAACTTTGCCAAATGACTATGAGGTGGGGTTCAGTCCTCTCCAAATATTTTGGCAACTGATTTGCTTTCATTTCATTCTGGGGAAGAATTAAAAAGAAGAAACTTCAGATAAAATAAAGGTTGGGTGTAACAAATTAATGCCTCTATGTCAAACATTTACTTTGTCCTTTGGTCTCCTGCTAACATTGGTTGCCCATACCACCTGTACTAAACTAGAATCCACACATTCTTTTAGTGAAGTTAAGATTGGTTAATGATTGTCTTCCCACAATACAAGAGAGCTGACAGACCAGCCCTGTCCCAAAATCTCCCAAATTCCCTTTAGCTCCAAGGTCATGACTACACAAGGGAACACAGACGATTAATGTTTCCACTGGCACATCATGGTTTGCAGCATTTCCTGGAGAAGTAGAGATAAGAGTGCTGAATTTGGACTCCAAAGACCAAAGTTTGAGTCCTTTGTCAATTACTATCTGTGAGACCTCTCAAGGCTTCGATTTCTTCATAAATGAAAATGAGAGGTATGGACTCCAACATCACTAATGTCCTATTCAGTTTGAAATCCTATGATCTATGCATTTTAAAGCCTCAGAAGTCCCCAAGAGGTTTTTCTCTCCTAAGTATAACCAGCCTCCATGTTTAAACTCTTTTTTGGATTTCTCTTCCTCTAATTTGCATTACATTTATTTGTGCTGACTTATTGTCCCTCACCTCACCCCTGAGTCACCTAATTGGTGCAATGGTTAGAATGCTGGGCCTAGAGTCAGGAAGATTCATCCTCCTAGGACGGGATCTAGCTTCAGACACTAACTAGATGTGACCCTGGACAAGTCACTTACTCTGCCTCAGTTTCCTCATCTGTAAGATGAGCTGGAGAAGGAAATTGCAAACCATGTCAGTATCTTTGCCAAGAAAACCCCAAATGAGGTCACAAAAAGTCAGGAATGACTAAACAACAAAAAGTAATAACCTGTTAGCTTCATTGAGGGCTGAGACTTTGTCTTAGGACACAGTTTTAAAATTATATATTTGACATCACAGGATCATAGATTAAGAGCTGGAAATGGACTTTGGAGACTGTCTAGTCCAATTTCCTCATCTTACAGCTAAGACAACTGAGACCTGCAGAGATGAATGACTTGCTTAAAGTCACAGACAAGTGTCAGTCAATATTTGAACCCAGGACTTCTAACATCAAATCCCATGCTCTTTCCACCACAATATGCTTCTCCAATTTTTAAAAATTAAACTCTGAGCAAACTCCCAAAACACTTTTACTCCAGCAATGATATTTTTCCCTGGATGCCACAGCAACATCTCTCCTAATGGTATCTCCAATTTTTTTTAAATAATATTTTTCCTCAGTTACATGTCAAAACAATTTTTAACATTCATTTTTTAAAATTTTGAATTCTAAATTTTCTCTCCCCCCATTACTTCACCCTTCTCTAAGAAAATAAGTGATTTTATATAGGTTGTACATGTTCAATCATGCAAAATAAATTGCCATATTAGTCATATTGTGAAAGAAGACACAAGCCCAAAGGAAAAAAAAACATGAAAAAAATGCAGGAAGTGAATAATAGTGTGCTTTAATCTGCATTCAGACTCTATCAGTTCTTTCTCTGGAGGTGGATAGCATTTTTCATCTTGAGTCCTTTGGAATTGTCTTGGATCATTGAATTTGTGATAAGAGTCAAGTCTTTCACAGTTGTCCATCATACAATATTGCTGTTACTGTGTATAATGTTATCCTTCGTCTGCACACTTCACTTTGTATCACTTCATGTAAGTCTTTCCAGGTTTTTCTGACATCCTCCTGCTCCTCAATTCTTATAGCACAGTAATATTCCATTACAGTCATATACTACAGCTTGTTTAGCCATTCCCCAATTGATGAGTATCCCTCTGATTTCCAATTCTTAGACACCACAAAAAAAACTGCTATAAATATTTTTGTACGAAAAAAGTCCTTTCCCTTTTTGCCAATATTTTTTATTCTTTAGCCCACAGGATGAGCTCTGTTTCTCCACACTGGAATTGTTGAGGGTGAAGGGGCACAAGGGTCATTTCTGTCTCTTCTGTTTGATGATTTTTCTTTTTCATGCCAACCAGATAGCTTCTCCACCCCCCTCCCTCAACTACTCACTTGGCTTCAAGGGTTCATGCCTAAGCTGAGGGAGACAGATGGGGCAGCTGATTTCTTTGAATAAAAAAGAAGGCCCAGTTGTCTTCTGTTCACCCTTCTCAAGAGCCTGCTGCTGTTATGTGAATGCACTCTTCTTGCCCCTTTAAAATATGTCAGAGGAGACTAGGAATTTGTATATGAGCAATCCCATTGAAGCCTCAGAGCAGCTTCAGATCTTTACTTTTAGTCAAGTCAAAGGGAGGAGGCCTGGAACCGGCCCAGCAATATGCTGAATTGCAGACCTTGGCTCTTTGGGAAGACCTATGTTACTAAGCAGTAACTTAGAATGGCAGCTGGTGGGCAAGAAGGTGGTTTTGCCAGCTGTTGCTTAAAATTTTTTTTTAAAGATCTGAGAGTCATGTACACAAAAAATCATCCAATAAACTCCCCTATCACCATGGCAAAAAAAAGAAAAGAAAATGATGCATCTCTCCTTTTCACACATAACCTTTGAGCTACATGTGGCCCCTTAAATTTTTATTTTTTTCCCCTTGAATTCATCTAATTGTACTTGATATTCACTGTGACCATATTTTATATGTAGAAAAATGGGGAGGGTGAGGTACAGGGCAAAGTATTATTCACCTTGATCTCTGTACTCCCTTAAACATAGCCAGGGATGGAGATATAAATGAGACTGACCTAGAACACTGAAATGTAGGGGATATAATGATTTCACTTATGCACTCCTTCTGTACCATGAAAGCCACTATAGCAATGAAGTCCTTCTCCCAATCAACTGTATTTAACTTTTTTATTTCTTGTATTTTTTTATATCATGAATTTAAAAATGGATTTGAGGGCAAGTTTCATAGTGCTTGTACCAGGTAGAATTTATGCTGATAACCTTGGGTTACCAAAATGCTAGTTACAGCTTTGCACCTGGCCCCACACCAGCCCATGGAAAGTCCTAGGCTTTAGTAGCAGCCTCAGGATGTGAAATAAGTAGAAAATACATAAACATGTATATATACATATACATGTTTATATGCATATATACATATACATACACACATATATGTGTTTATATATAAATACATATATAAACACATATATGTATATCAGCTAGAAGGTACATTGAATAGAGCACTGGGCTTGGAATCAGAAAGACTCATTTTCATGAGTTCAAATCCAGCCTCAGACACTTACTAGCTTTAGACCCTGGGCAAATCACTTAAGTTTGTTTGCCTCAGTTTCCTCATCTGTAAAATAAGCTGGAGGAGTAAATGGTAAACCACTCCAAGAAAACCCCAAATGGGTCACAAAGAATCTGACAGGACTGAAAAATGACTGAACAAATAAACATGTATATTATGACAACATATATACAGTGCTTCAAATAAAAAGCATAATTTAATGCTAAAATATTTATAAATATGCAAACAAATGTAGTTTACAAATGTAGATACAAACATAAAAATGGGATTAATCGTATTATAATTTGTCATTATGACAATATCACCAGCTAACGACACTTTTTTAAAAAAAATTTTATTTAGCCTTGTGATTTTTGTTTTTCAGTATAGGTAGGGAACTACTTTCACAAGTGCACATTAATAAGTCATTTGTAACTTATAATCATAAAAGAGATGTCTTGGGCACTAAGAGGATAAAGGACTTGCCCATGGTCACACAGCTAGTACATGTCAGAGGCAAGACTTGGACCTACGTTTTCTTTTCTCCAAGGGCAGACCATCTCTCCATTATACCCTACTGACTCTCTAGTGATCATAATAATTACACCATTGGATGGCAGGGTAGACATTCAAAATGGTGGCTTATATCTGCTCTTTAAGCAACATAGATTTTTGAACTGCTAATGGAAAATGCCAGGCAGCTAGGTAGCACAGTGGATAGCCTGGAGTCAGGAAGATAAGTCTTCCTGAGTTCAAATCTGGCATCAGACACTTACTAGCTGTGTGACCCTGGGCAAGTCACTTAACCCTGTTTGCCTCAGTTTCCTCATCTGTAAAATGAGCTAGTGAAGGAATAGCAAACCACTCTAGTGTCTTTACCAAGAAAACTCCAAATAGGGTCACAAAGAGTTGGACATCACTGAAATGACTGAACAACAAACAAAATCAAATCCACACCAATGAAATCACAGATCCTGGATGTATTGTCACTTACTCTGTATTGTTTTCTCAGTTGTGCATTTTGAATGTTTACTTCATGTCATAATTTTCCAGCTTAAAATCCATGTATGCTAGTTTCTAAATTGTGTGTGTGTGTGTATGTGTGTGTGTGTGTGTGTGTGTGTGTGTGTGTGTTTTATTGGCACAGCAACTCTAGGAGAGGCCTGGAGGTACATACACTGGTGAAGTCAGGGGCCTCTTGAAGAAGATGCATATGTAATTTATACTTTTCAAAAATGGTAACTTGACCTTTCTGAGTCCTTGCTAAGAAGCCTCTGCTGCACACCCTTACCAGATGTCAGGGACTGAGATAGAACTGAAATCAAATAGCATACATTAATTCTTTCACTCATTTGTTCAACAAGTATTTTTTAAGTATGCACAGTAAACTAAACACCACAAAAAATTACAAAGCCAGTAGAAAATATAGTCCCCACCTTCAAGGAGTTTCTAGTATAGCTGAAGAGACAAACCAATTATTCATATAAAAGCATATAAGCAAACTGCACAGTCATATCCAATCTGCACATGAATGTTATAGAAAGAAGGATGGTTTCTGGCAGGTGAGCATGGAGTATGGTTTCTTTTTCATGAAGGGAAGCAGGGAAGAGAGTTCTCAAGAAACAATGGCTCCATTCTCCAAACCCCCTAAAAGGAAAAGGAAGAATGAGCAGACTTCTTCAATGACTTAGTCAATTCAATACAATTAGACACAGTCCAATGC